AGTGTCATCACGCCGCTAATAGATTGGTCCAGTGATTGTGATTAGCCTGATCTTAAAGCAACAGCTAGCCTTGTTTATGAAATAAATAATCAATCCAAAGTAGTCGTATTTGCATGTGGTGTATAGTATTGCAGGAAAAATAACAAAAAGTGTTTGAACCCTCGATAGTTATATAATCAAATAATCTCTAAATACAGTCCTCACCACAAAAGTGATGATGATTACAAATTCCGTCGAGACGCTCACACTCAGGCTCTCCAAGGTCGGCAAGAGATGAGCTCAAAAAGTGAAATAAAGTTTTTTAGACAGGCTTTTAAAATATTTTTTGGGGAAATACTCGGCTAATCGAAATCTACAGCCGTTTTAATACATATATCATTATTGCTAAGAATCATTTCCATGTTTTTCTAAGTCTCTTAAAAGTGTTGATTGATTTTTGTGGATGTATCCCAATAGTTTGTCTCAACATGCAGCGGGGAAAAGAGCTTCGGTGGTAATAATTAGTAGTTTGGGGTTGTATTGTTATTAAGTGCAGTATATTCTATCGAGAAAGGCTGTTTTCTCACTGCCTCTACAGTTTAAGGTCGATGTCATTCATTGTGTCTTTGTTTAGCGGTGTTGCAGGGTTAAGCCTGAAAACAACAATGGGTGAGGTAATTCTTAAAGGCAAAACTGGCCTCTCTTCTAGGAATGTATTGAAGACGGAGGAGGGTTGGTAATAGAGGAGGGAGGAGAGGAAGGGGGGGGACCTTTCAGTCCTTGGTTCCCACTGACTGTGCGCAGCTGGAGGACCGAAGCAATAACGTGGGAAACAAACAGTAAAATGATCAACATGAAGGACCCCTCCCTCAGGGAGGTCCTTATGCTACCTGCAGGATAGTACGACAGCCTGTGTTTAGACAGAACCATCACTCGATATATGACAGGTATGATGATGATGATCCCCGACTTTTCTTCTAGTGCCCCCACCAGGTTGTGGTTTATGTCAACAACTATTGAAAGGATTTCCATGTAATGTCATTCATGCATGATTTCTCTGCACTTTGGCGTCTCCTAACTTCCTATATAGCACAATCGTCCTAAAATGCTAAAATACTTAAAAGGTATTCTTTGAAGATTATATACCCCGGTAGTAAACAGACGCTCCCTGGACAGCATTGGCATCTGCCGTAGCCGTTATTCTCTGCCAGCCTCACCCAAGTTGACCTTCCTGCTCTTGTTCACTAAAATGATATCCAGTGTTCCACTTGAATGCACCATCAGCCTGACTGTCAGACAGGTGGTCGGGATCAATGTGAAATCCTGGTGTCAATCTATATATACAATTGATGTGTAGTATGAGTCATGTTTGCTCATGACGATTGTTCTTACCAATATGCAACAATTCCCAGGCGAGGTGCTTTCATGTATTGTTGACTCAAATCACCAGCAGCTCAAGTCAGGCTTCTTAAGAGTCATTGTTCGTATTATTATCCTTCAGTATCCAGCTACAACTCGTTAGTGGCACATAGGTCACAATCTGTAATTGCTTCTCTAGAGTCTACCCTGCACATTAGAACCGTAGAATAAAATATAAAACAGAGCCTCCCTCCAACACCTCCAAGTAATAGTGCATCACTTTTGTGATGACTGTTGATTCTGTGGGAGAGGGTACAACTAGTATGTTAAGGGAACTGAAATTATATATGTCTTGTTGCTGGACAGCAAAAACATCATGGACAGCAGTGTCACTTTACAATGACATGTAAACCACATGTCTGTGGTTAATGAATTTGTAAATATTTGTCTCCTGCTAGGGTTGATGTAGCCCGCATTACCTAGACCTGCTCCCCATAGTGTTTACCCACGCACTAGACCCTTAACACATCATTCAGCTCCCGCCTCTGTTTACCGAGATGCACGTGTCCTCATTAAAACATAGAGTGCAGCTGGCCAGACAGCGCACAGAGGGGCCTGTTGTCCTGAACCCTGTGGCTAGTGGAGGAAAGTTCAACACACCAGAAAGTCCCTGGCTTAGTAAAAGACCATTGATGACAAATATATATTAGATACATGTTTCAGGAAATCTAACAATTATCTAGAAGTGGTACTCAACACGCTGGGAAAGGTTCCCTTGGATGCAACAAAAGGTCACAAACAGTCCTGTTGTCATTAGCCAAGGATGATGCGGCACCAAGTCTGCAAAAAGGAACAAAGGGAGGAGAGAGCAGACAAAGAGCAGAGTGTGTGACCTTTAAGTAGAGAGACTGTGGATTGGAAAGAGCAGCAGCATCTTTTTAAGCTCTGTGAAGAGGTTCCGGGCAGCTGAACTGGTTTTAATTACACGTTACTCCGTCTGGATAACCGGAAAGAACAGTGCATTCTGTAAAGAGGAGAGAAAGCCTGCAATCACATTTTTGGCAGTACAAATGGTTGGTAGGAAACTCACTCGAATGAAAATTTTAGAGAAACTCATTTGTGCATTTATGTTATCTGTGCGTCGTACTTTATAAGGCAATTGTTATGTTCGTCATGCCTGACTTTAAGTTGAGAAAGATGGAAAATGTTTCATCCGGAAATGTAATTGGGTGAAAGTGCCGCTACCTTAAAACTATGCTGAAATACAGTACTTAAGTAGAAGCTCTTTGGTGCTTGTGTGAATGTAGAAGTGTGTCAGAGTGTGTGGGTGTAAGAGAGAAAAAAGATGGACATGGACATAATGCTTATGTGTGTGTAGGATGCATCCGTGCACTCACAGCCTCCTTGTGCCTTTGTGTGTGTGTGTGTGTGTGTGTGTGTGTGTGTGTGTGTGTGTGTGTCTGTGTTTGTACATGTCCCCATGCGTCTGTGCATGTGTGTGAGTAAACCAAACGTGTTAAGTAACGGACACATGGGCCAAGGGTGGCTAGTGTTGCTTGGTGGTTGATTATGATGACTCTCGACAAAGTGTGTGTGTGTGTGTGTGTGTGTGTGTGTGTGTGTGTGTGTGTGTGTGTGTGTGTGTGTGTGTGAGGCTGTAGGCACCAGTAGGCTACAGTGCTGCTCAGATTAACTGACCTTCAGCCTCAGCATTAATGGAGGCTTTGATTTAACACGTAAACACTCTGAATAAATTGCAGAATCACTGTTTCAAATCCAGTGATGAGAAACAAATCAACTCCTCGTATCTGAACGTAAACCACACTTTTTTGGGCATAAAGCAGCATCCACTTGAAAGAAATATTAAAATGATATGTCATTCCCATCCTCATAGTCATCTGTATAATCATTACCATTACCGGTATTACCTGAGCCTGTCACTGTCCGTCTTCATCCTATATTATATATAATGTTTCTACAATGTTTCCCACAACATTTCAAGTTGAGTGTGCTTATTGTGCAACACTTCACATCATCATTAGCAGCACTGACTAACGTAGCCCATGTAAGCAGGGGAGGCTGTAGTTGACAGAGGTGACCTTAAGAATAAACAGCTCCTTGTTACATCATCTGTGTGCTTGTCACCATGGATACTGTGACCCGAACCGAGGTTATGATGATCGAAAGCAAAAACCTGGATGTGACTTACATTAGTGGAGTTTGTCATGGTAACGTTCTTCACAGCAATGCAGGGTTAGACTGGAGGACATTATCTGATAACGTTCTTTTCTTTTCCGGAAGTGTGATGCTGCTGTGGATTTAGCAGCTGTGACAAGGGAGGCAGACTTGCCTGTTTGCCCGCTTGAATTTTTAGAGATTAATTTTGATTTCAAATGAATTTTATACTAAGAAGAACACATTTCTGAGCTTGTTTTCTTTTACAACGGGAGCTTTTGTCCTGGTGTATAAGGTCATTACGTTCGGGTAACTGTGAAAAGATTTAATTTGATTTCATGGGAAGATAAAGAATTTGAAGAGCAACTGAATCATTCTTTCAGACCCACATTTGAGCAGCCTAAATTGACCATAATGCAATTTAACCATAATTGGTTACCAAACAAGCTGGCTACCAGCCACAGGCTCAGAACTCGTGAGTCCCCGAAGCACGAGCCTCCCCATGTTTTGCTTTCTGATATTCAGAAATCGAGTGTCTGATATACCAACTTGGCATATTTGGTCCCTAAAAAATACAGTAAAGTTGTTTAAATATGTTTGACAGAACAGCTTGTGTGGGACAGTATGGGCCTCGGTCCAAGGCCATCGTGTGACCATGCCGAGGTTCAGCATACCTTGATGTTCGTATTTCAGCTGTTTAAGCAATCACACACGGCAACCACCTCATGATCTGGATATAGTCTCATTTGCTTCCTTTGCCACAATTTAAATGGAAAAGAAGTACTGCAGGCGCGTCGGTTTAAATAAATATAACCATGTAAACCTTAATGAGAGCCATGGTAGAGCTTGGAATGAGTGAACAAGAGAGTCTCTGCTTTGGTATTCGGGAAATGCAGCTCGACAGCTTCCCACATTGTTTGGTATTTAAGTGTCATCTGAAGAATGAGTGGCAAGCTCAGCAGTGAGCGCGACGTCATGCTCTCCCCAAAACTATGCAACCATCCCTGCCTCTTGGAATGATTTGAACAATCCATCACTTTGTTTTGTTATTGAATTGTTAACTTGCATTGCATTCAGAGGTTGTGAGTGTAGAAGTGATAAATGGAGCAGAAGCACAGAGGAAAATGAGGTGGCATTAGGATTTGTATTCAGCACGTTGCCCCGGGATACTTTTAATCTTTCATTGTCACATGTTTTTGTGAAACCTATTTTCCCGATTCACGGCGAGATATTGTATGAATGCTAACACATTTGGCACGGCACCTTTTAACTAAATCTTATGTCTTTTCTCTACTGTAATAGTGAATGTTTAATGTGACATGCAATGTAATCATTCAAAAATATATCCTGCGTGTGATTTTTCCCCTAGAGGTGCAAACTGAATGAGTAACACAAATCTAAACGTATGCCAACCCCCCCATGCTGGCTTTTACGAGGACTCGTAAAGAATGCCATGAACTCTCAATCTTTATAACTCGTATGTATCTGATTCTGTTTGATGTAGTTACTAAACTCACATACCGTGTATTGGCCAAACAGTGACGTCGTTGAGAAGACGAGGTGTTTATGAGCATAACAATGCGTCACACGTCGCTGCATGGTGCTCCGACAATCCTTCCTCTCACTCCTCTCTCCTCTCGCTCAGGTTTTGCATTTGATCTACGATCCATACTTCAACCTCCACGACCCTCCTCTTTCCTCCACCATTTCTAGTCCTCTTCCCCTTTAGTGTTTTTTTTTAGGTATTTCTCTTCACACCGAGTCTTTAACGTACCCGGTCTTTAACTCCCATCCCTGTGTTTTTCCCCTCACACCAGCTTCCTCTTCCTCCCTCCACTGCCTTCATCACTCTGTCTCTTCTATCTCCGCCTCGCACTCAGCCGCCTGTGCACATTAGTATTCCGTTCAGCCCCGGCGGTCTGAGCAAAGGGGGGGCTGTGGCTGTCTGCTCCTCTTGTCTGAGCCCGCTGGAGAGAGGCACCCCTTTATGGCAGAACACTTTATTCATCACTGTGTGATCACTCAAACAAACACACATACACACACACAGAGCCGTCACACATTAAATCTCTGCCCATCCACCTCATGTACCGTCTGAGCCGTTTCCCCGCTTCCCTCCCTGGAAGGGCTGCTGCACCGGCAGCAGTGCAGGCGGTGCTGACAGACTTCATCTAACGCGGCCCGTCTTCGCGTCTGCCTTGATAGGTCCCGCATCACGACACGACGCAGCACGCACGGCCTTCAACAGGACGGCAGCATACAACACGCATCGGTGCGACGATTGACCTGGAATTGCAGAGGGAGCAAATCCCAACAGTTTAGTATGAAAGATAAATGATGAATGTAAGGAACTCCATCGTGTAAATTCTAAGTAAACAGTGTTTTCTGGAGGGTTGGGCATCACTGTGACACAATGCCTCGTGTAACTTGGTGTGGCAGCGTGGCTCCGCTCACTTCCATCTCCATCTTCTTCCATCTTCCATCAGGTGGCTTTCCTTCTAGGCTCCCCCCTCCCACTGTGTGTCACTAAGCTGTGATTAATTATCCTGTCAGGTTGATCCCGGGGCTGCTGAGGCTACATGAATCAACAGCCCATCCACTTCAGGTGTGTCTCCCTACCTCTTCTCGAGGGTGAACTTTGGCGTCGGCAGTGTGGCTGGTCTGCCGTGGCAGTTGCAGGGCCCAGCGCGGCTGCCGCATCGTGTGCGTGGCGTCCCATGTGCGGCACGGCGCGTCTTTTGTGTCTCCCCATTCCGCGTCATCGACGGCGCCTGCCTGTCTGCTGACTGAGGTTGGAGGCGGAAGCGTGGCCTTCAAGCCGGTGCAGTTTCCCTTAGGCGTAGCATCCAATTCCTAGGTAGGTCTGTGTCATCTGTACTGCTTAGATGGACATGGGCCTCGTCCAGCTGTTTCATAGATTCCTCTGTTGCCTTTGATTTGCAGCTAAAGCGGTAGTTTAATAGTTGGTGTGTGGTTTATTTTCATGTGTGGTGGAACATCAGGCTCCTTCCCCCTCAGCAAGTCATCTCTGCCAGTGAGCCTTCAGTCCCCCCCTTTTTTTTTGCACGTTGCATCCATGGTAATCTGACTCATAAACGTTCCATTTTATTGAACTCTGTGATTGTGATTTGTATTTTAAGACAATTTAATTCTAAAATAAACTTGTATAATTTTGTTTGTAGAATCACGTCCAGTGCCTGTGTTGTACGAACCTGTGTGCTGTCATCGATCATAGACTGGTGGTCCCTGTTAATTCCTGGGGTGAGATTCCCTTAGGTGGCATTGTTGGCTTTTAACCGTAAAATACAGAGCTCCCTCTCAGCATTGCCACATTGGTAACCACGATGGCATTTGTGGAGACATTCAAACATTCAGTGGAGCAGAAGATGCTAATTCTCACTTCAATGCCAACTCGAGCAAAGCAGGAGGCTTCAGGTCCTGCTGGGGAAACGTGATAATTGCAGTGCTGCCGCAGGAGCCCAGGCGCCATGTTTTTCACTCCCTTGCCATCAAGTCAGCTGCGGCAAAGAGGCATCTCTGAGAAACGACAGCAGAGATCTGACCCGCAGGCGATTGGCCGTCAAGACTTTCGAAAGGTTTGATGTCGTACAAAGATGCATTACAAACACTTACGCAACACGAGTCGGTTCTCTGTCCCCGGCGTCCCAGGGGGCTTGAGTTCACAGCACAGGGCTCAGATTCTCAGATGTCAGATCTTGTCACCCCCCACAAACCGTGTGATCTCAGTCACCTTCGTATCACAGTACAGTCCTCGTACGTAACTCGCGTGTCGCCAGCTGGTCGGACACGCTTTGCCTGTTATCAGTTACTTCCTTGAAATGCAGTTAAAGTTCAGGTTGATTTGGTGACAACAGATGCTCAGGTTATTCTAGATGCCAATGCAGAAGGCTTCTGTAACAGGATGTTTAAATATTGAGGACTTTTCAGCTGTTTATGTAATCCTTTTCTACGTGTTCATACGTGGCCATTATCAGACCCACCACATCACATGTTCCTCTTTTTATCTACACAGAATAATCAATGCATGAACCCTTTGAACTTTACTGCTTAGATACTCAGAAATGTTTCCACTTGCATTCAGTATTGAAGTGGTGGTTTTGTTCCGCTGCTGTAAGAGCACATTGTGCATCTCATTCATCCACCTGTCTGGCTTGAAAGGCTGATTCGCGTCGAACAAACAACACTGTTCACGTGTGATAGCAACTCACATCTAAACAAACAGCATCACTGTCAGTCCTCTATGAACTGTACAAGCCCCAATATCTCCTGCTTGAGATTTCATTTTATGGCTTGTATATCCAATTCATTGGAAAAGCAAAAGGCAATCAGTGCCTCATGAGACGGAGGTCTTTGTGTCTTCCTCGACCAGATGAAAGCCATTTTATTCCTGTGGCAAAGAAATTTGCAGCCGTGGGTCGGTGAGAGCGGCATGATCTTGAAGGTCGCATCAGAGACTCAAGTTGTCACGCTTACAAAAAAATGATTAACGGTATTAAAGCCATTATTTATCTTGTTTTCAATCAATTCTGTTTACAATTATTGTTTAATATTTTGAATTTGTCGAACCAACAGTATAAAGCAAAGTAAGTTGTCTAAGTGGCCTGACAAACAGTTTAGGAATTAATTCCTCTGGATTCCGGCATGCATGTCAGACATGCCTGGACATTTTCCACAGCGGCACCTTGAAATCAAGCTTCAGCAGAGAAAAATATCCCGTTGCAACACAACCAGTGGAGTAGCAGACACTTCCATATTAAAGGAAGTGCAACCTCAATATGGTTGATGACTTTTGCCGCTGTAACGTTGAACTTGTTTACCTTTTGTCTGATTCATTTGTCTTAAGTCAATGGTTCAATGGGAACAGCTTTATTTGTCAATGGTATGGTCAATGGCAGCCAACAAAACTTAACATTGAATCAAAAAAATATGTTATCATGTGTGCACATTGTAATAAAAACATAACTACATATGACAACACATTAACTTAAATATAAAATAAATCACTGACTGCAACTGCATCATCAAATGGAAATATCTTGTGTTGTTGAAAATGCTAAACATCAACATGAAAGCACACAGCAAATGTAAGTGCATCCTCGTGATGAAATATTGAATTTGAGATACAACCTTAAAAGCACAGTCTCCTTTAATATCACTCACTGATTCTCTACGTTTCATGTGTTTCTATTTTGTGAACCACTTTGTGACATCCGCTCTTAAATATATAAATAAACCCACTTACTATCTACACAGGCTATGGTGCCTATATTTAAAGCCATGCCTTCAAAAATTTAGAAATATCTGCTGTTCCTCACACAAAGACGTTTTTCAGTAGTGACTTTTATTTTGTTGTGTGATTAATTCAACGGCTTCCATATGCAAAACTAATTGTTCCCAATTTGCACCTGTGATACGTACAGGTAACTCTTTGCTGTCATCTGTGAGAAAAGGTGTTTCCTACAAACTCATTAACAATCATATGTTCTTTAAAGTACACGTTGCCAGATGTCTGTCATATTCAATTGCCGTTCTGTTGAAGAGAAACTTTCTGCTACACAATTTTGAATCCGCAAAACCCTTCGACACCAAAATAATGTCAAATCTTTTGGAGAAATAAACAGTTTTTTGTTCTCAAGTGCACCTGTCGAGGAAAGCGGAGACAATGGGTTAAAATCGGCTTATCCATCAACTCCTCTGAGCCCTTCCCATCTCTTTCGCCCTGCTCCCCGCTTCCTGTTGTGCAGGAAGCACTGCTGAATCCGCTCCACCCACTGGTGGAGGGTAAACACTGCGTGTGACCGAGAGATAGAGAGCCTGGGCGAGTGGGTGAGGTATGGGGTGTGCGAGTTGTTGAGAAAAAAACAACAACAAAAGTTTAAACTTGGTTTTTAAATTAGTTTATTATAGGAAGGTTATTAAAAAAAACAACAGTTTTACTGGCAATAACAAGCCAGTCGAGGGCCCAGCAGCTGCACATTTCCATTGTAAGAAGCCAGCAAAGGCTCATTAACTGAGGAAACAGTCTGACAGGGAAAATAACTGTTGGGTTAATTTGGACTGCAGGAAGCCTCGTGCTTAGACAACCGTTTGTTTCCTGCTGGAAGGAAAGGTGTGATCACTTACGCAGTCCCCCATATGCAGCTGCAGAACCTTTGATGTAGCTCCAACAATCCAGAGTCACAGATATTAGGGCAAGTAAGAGGAAGGTTTATGCTAAAAACTTAGTAAAACGTTAGTACTTCTGAAATCAATGTTTTAAAGATTAGGAAGATCAGAGAGACCCGTTCCCTTACTGCCAGAGGAGCGTATGTGAGTATCATGGAGTCATTACGGCCAGGGGCCTTATTGTTGGAAAACATCTTGGAAATACTTTCCGGTTAGATACACAAGTACCCCTCTGATTCAAAATCTGTATTATATAATGTGTCCCACTGGAGTGAACATTTGTTCAAACAAATGCCTACCTTGTCATTTGGTTGTATTTACCTATTAGCACTGGGCCTCTCAATCCGCCTTTTGTAAAGGCAAGTGCAGCTCGTAGGAGTCACTTTTGGTCTTTTTTAGGATTTTGAACAGTTGTAGATATAAGAAGAAATCCTTTAATCCTCCGAACACTGATTATTGTGGCGAGTCTCAAGTCGCTTGATGTGTTTTCCTCACCTGCTCCGAGAGAAACATAATCATGAACAGAGAGACAACATTCATGAACATGCATGCGCACACACACACACCCACACACACATACAGTCACACATACACACTTGGTCCAAATTGGCTTGCTATATAACTTGCAGTTTCCCCCCACTGCTTAGACAGTTGATTGCTGTACAGACTGAGCCGCGGCTTCTGCTGTGAGGCTCCTGCGTCATCTCGGTGTCATTCCAGTCAATTACCCAGTGGCAACAAACCCCCAACGATCTTTTAGTCACATCATTCCACAACAGTCACACTTTCAGCCGCTGACAGCGAACAATCCAGTACCTATTTTAAGTATTGCAGCATTAAAATGTGATTATTTTCTAGGTTCTTAACTCCACTGTGACAACAAATTGAATGTATTTATTTTGTGACCAAAACAACACTGATCAACTTTTCAAGGACCAAATAACTACTCGATTAATCAATAAGAGCCTGAGGCTACAGTGATGCTAAAACTGAATTAGAGTTACTTCACACTAGACAGAGGTGGAAAGAGTAGCTACGTGAGCACGTGGAGAATTTCTACGATCAAACCAAATTCTCCTCAGTTCCTTTGTTCTGCTGTCACCAATGTTTTCCAACACTTTGAGCTCCATTGATTCAGAAACACGTGGAAGTACGCATGTGTAATGTAGCATTTAGCATGTTAGCCAGTCAGACCCAGCGTGCACATCTTTAATTGAAGAACCCTGTGGAGGAAACATGTTTTTCAATCCAATGAAGCAGGGAGCATGATAACTCTTACCCTCGACGTGTAATAAAACCCACGTAGACTTTTAATCAATCATACACTGGTTACACTACGGTTAACTGAGAGACTGTATTGTCCACCTCACCTTAGGTCGGAGTAATGTTAATGCTTGTGGTGTAGTATTACAACTCGTGGGCTTGTCCAAAAAGAAAAAAGAAGAATGTCCCCTCTGAGCCACGTAATGAGAAGTACAAGCCTCACTGTGTATTTCAAAATCCGCATTCCCACGAGGTCTCTGGCCGAGGCAGCGACACAAACACTGAGGTCAGTCTTGGTCGTATCGCGCCGTCTAGCCAGTACATCAGAGAGGGGATTTCACTTATTTTGAGTAGCAGCAAAGGAGAGAGAGTGATAGACAAGCCAAACGCCTACTCTTCAAGTTTGAATTATACTGCCAGCTGGAAAATAGTCTCCCTCCAATGAATAGACGCGTAAACGTGATCTGATTTTGTGACTGTGACTGCACAGCAATGACATCATTGGTGCGTATAAATCCGGAAGAAAGAAACCGCCGGCTGCATCGTGCCATCAACATTTGTGAGTCAAGTGATCGAGGGATGACTCACGACGAATAAGAAGATTGAACAATAACAGACGGAAGCTTTTAATAAACAGCGTAGAAATGTGCTCAGTGGCGGCTTT